GTTCATCTTTAATATAATATATGTTGTATGGATTATATATGTTTTATAGGTTCTGTATGTGCTATATGTTTTATATGTTTCTTTCATGTATATTATTTGGTTTTGAATTGATAAGTTTATTCATTCAATTTCGTTTGCACAATTTTTATTTGTGTATTTTCCTTATTTATTGTGATTTGTAACTTTTGTGTTGGTATCTATGATGAGTAATTTATCTAAATTTATTTTTCTTATTTATTTTGATTTGTAACTATTGTGTTGGTATTCATGAATGGTAATTTATTTGTGGATTTTTCTTATTTATTTTGATTTGTAACTATTGAGATGGTATTTATAAAAGGGAAATAATTTTGAGTTTGAAAATTATTTCATGTATATTTTGCTTATTTATTTCGATTTGTAAATTTTATTGTTTTGTTGCAATGAATATAGTGTAATAATTTTTGTTTGTGAAATTATTATGGAGGTATTTTGCTTATTTATTTCAGTGTAAAATTATTTGCGTGACATCCCATGTGGATGTTACAAATATATTTTCTTTTCTTTTCTTTGCTAAAGATTTTTAGTTAGATTACATAAGTAATGTTAATTGTTTGACTTTCAATTATTTTTGTTTTAGTATTCTCAAATTGCAATAATAATATTCTTCAGTTTTTGAAACTTAATTTGCAATCCATTACATTTATAAAAAGTTTCAATGAGTTTAATATTAACTGAGTGTCGTATGGGCACTAAATGTAATTGTAAAAGTATATGTTAGACAATAGTGCATTATGAGTAGATAGTTTTGTAAACTAGTAGACTTTAAAATAACTGACAATTTAGTTTGGCAGTAAAATGAACTTATTTTTATTTTTTTTTTTCCTCTTTAAATTGTTTATTTTGCTTTCTAAAATTGATGATGGACAGTTTAAATGAAATTTAGATTGTACTTTTACAAGGGCACTCACATGGAGAGTTAATGATGTTGTAACTAATAATGCATATATGGAGATTGCATTTGAGGAGTAGCACTATCCTTGGAGGATGGGAGTGTGTCCAACTGGCCACAGATTTGTTTACTGCCTATTTTGCACTGTGGGTCATATGGGGTGATTTGTGTCTTGGCAGGTACTGCGGATTCGCGGACACATTATACGACTGTAGGTCGGGGAGTCAGGTCATGACTCCTTTTCACAACCATGGATAAGTCTTTGTGGAGACAGTCCATGACGCCCCACTGTTATAAATCACGGTGTCGTTGGTTAAACGGCTTGGGAGTGTATACAGTGGCGTCTTACTTGCACAGTAAGTGAAGTAAGGTGTAATTGGGTCCCGGACGATTTGAGTGTCCACCCAAATTATTATTTATATCATTACCCATATGATTTGAAGGTGTAATGAGTAGTGACGTATTTGTGTCAAGGGCTGATACCATTTCTACCCATTAGGGAGGAGCTTACCCATTGAATGTATATACCCATTAAATATGTGCCAGATAGTTTGTCCTTAGGTGATTGACCCAAAAGTACATGACATATTTTTTTTTTTAGGTAACTAAATATTGACGATAAAATTTAAAAACATGACTGTACATGATGGCAGGCCATGCTTTGCTGATACTTGACTTTGTCAGGAAGTATCAGTTCAGAGGAAGGGTGAATGTCACAACCCTATTAAGTACAGTCAGTGTACCACACCGTAAGGTGTGCACCCAGGGTTGACACAGAGGTCAGGGCCGTCACTGGTCAAGTCCGTTCTGTGATCGCACGGCGAAACCAGCGCTCAGGATAAAGCAAGAAAGCCTGAACTGTGTTTTAGTAACACGATGACTGCTTCTGGGACTGAGCTGGTGAACGGGGTTAAGAGACACGAGGTAGAAGGAAGAAGGGACATTCGGTGTGCGTCAGTCAGGAAGAGAGGACGTTTAGTGACTGGATAGTTTATGTTATAGTATTAAAGTTAGGATATATTTCTGTTAGTGACTGGATAGTTGATGTACAGTTTTGTGTTAGGATAGGATAGTTCTTGTGTAGAGTATTTATGTATATGTGCTGTGAGAGAGTGGCTAACCTGGACACTCTGACCCTGCACTAAGACAGAGACTGTGACAGTTTGATTGGGTCAGCGTGGCGATAGAAGAGAGCGTATCCTGCCGGATTGTGGTTTGTACACCAGAGTATTGCCTGTCGCACGTACTGGGGACGGGGCGATTGTAAAGCCCGTCCAGCCAGAGGGTCCAGGCAATAGGTGGCCACACGGCGGGAAGTCAACTGTCTATGTATTACCTGTACTTCCAATAAAGATTGTCGTGTGTGCTCTGTGTGCGTTCGGGTTCAGTGTGTGTTGTAGGTTAGGCTGTCTGTCATAGGCCTAGTTAGCGAGCCACGGACCGGCAAGGTCATACCAGAGGTTTGTGACAAGTATGAAACATTTGCTTACACAGTTCATAATCAACACAACATTGTATCTGGAGTATGAAACATGTGCTTACACAGTTCATAATCAACACAACATTGTATCTGGAGTATGAACCATTTGCTTACACAGGTAATAATTAGGAAAACATTGTATTTGGAGTATGAAACATGTGCTTACACAGTTCATAATCAACACAACATTGTATCTGGAGTATGAACCATTTGCTTACACAGTTCATAATCAACACAACATTGTATTTGGAGCATGAAACATTTGCTTACACAGTTCATAATCAACACAACATTATATCTGGAGTATGAACCATTTGCTTACACAGTTCATAATCAACACAACATTGTATTTGGAGCATGAAACATGTGCTTACACAGTTCATAATCAACACAACATTGTATCTGTAGTATGAACCATTTGCTTACACAGTTCATAATCAACACAACATTGTATTTGGAGCATGAAACATTTGCTTACACAGTTCATAATCAACACAACATTGTATCTGGAGTATGAAACATTTGCTTACACAGTTCATAATCAACACAACATTGTATCTGGAGTATGAACCATTTGCTTACACAGTTCATAATCAACACAACATTGTATTTGGAGTATGAAACATGTGCTTACACCGTTCATAATCAACACAACATTGTATTTGGAGCATGAAACATTTGCTTACACAGTTCATAATCAACACAACATTGTATCTGGAGTATGAAACATGTGCTTACACAGTTCATAATCAACACAACATTGTATCTGGAGTATGAAACATTTGCTTACACAGTTCATAATCAACACAACATTGTATCTGGAGTATGAACCATTTGCTTTCGTAGTTCATAATCAACACAACATTGTATCTGGAGTATGAAACATGTGCTTACACAGTTCATAATCAACACAACATTGTATCTGGAGTATGAAACATTTGCTTACACAGTTCATAATCAACACAACATTGTATCTGGAGTATGAACCATTTGCTTACACAGTTCATAATCAACACAACATTGTATCAGGAGTATGAAACATTTGCTTACACAGTTCATAATCAACACAACATTGTATCTGGAGTATGAAACATTTGCTTACACAGTTCATAATCAACACAACATTGTATCTGGAGTATGAACCATTTGCTTACACAGTTCATAATCAACACAACATTGTATCTGGAGTATAAACCATTTGCTTACACAGTTCATAATCAACACAACATTGTATCTGGAGTATGAACCATTTGCTTACACAGTTCATAATCAACACAACATTGTATCTGGAGTATGAACCATTTGCTTACACAGTTCATAATCAACACAACATTGTATCTGGAGTATGAAACATGTGCTTACACAGTTCATAATCAACACAACATTGTATCTGGAGTATGAAACATTTGCTTACACAGTTCATAATCAACACAACATTGTATCTGGAGTATGAAACATGTGCTTACACAGTTCATAATCAACACAACATTGTATCTGGAGTATGAAACATTTGCTTACACAGTTCATAATCAACACAACATTGTATCTGGAGTATGAACCATTTGCTTACACAGTTCATAATCAACACAACATTGTATCTGGAGTATGAACCATTTGCTTACACAGTTCATAATCAACACAACATTGTATCTGGAGTATGAACCATTTGCTTACACAGTTCATAATCAACACAACATTGTATCTGGAGTATGAACCATTTGCTTACACAGTTCATAATCAACACAACATTGTATCTGGAGTATGAAACATGTGCTTACACAGTTCATAATCAACACAACATTGTATTTGGAGCATGAAACATTTGCTTACACAGTTCATAATCAACACAACATTGTATTTGGAGCATGAAACATTTGCTTACACAGTTCATAATCAACACAACATTGTATCTGGAGTATGAAACATTTGCTTACACAGTTCATAATCAACACAACATTGTATCTGGAGTATGAAACATTTGCTTACACAGTTCATAATCAACACAACATTGTATCTGGAGTATGAAACATTTGCTTACACAGTTCATAATCAACACAACATTGTATCTGGAGTATGAAACATTTGCTTACACAGTTCATAATCAACACAACATTGTATCTGGAGCATGAACCATTTGCTCACACAGTTATTAATTAAGAAAACATTGTATCTAGAGCATGAAACATTTGCTCACACAGTTCATAATCAACACAACATTGTTAATAATGACCTGGTATAGAGCTGGCAGGTTAAGTTTTTTAAATCAGCTCAGGCCAAATACATCAGGTCCATATTTACTTCTCCTAACCCGTGTGGTCTATCTTTGGTCTTCCATCGTCTTCTTGGTCTGTCTCTTAGCCTACGACCATTCAGGTCCCATCTGTATACAGTTTTACCTCTCTGTCATCTGACATTCTCTCAAAATACCCCAGCCATTTCAGACAATTTATTATGTCTCCTGATGCCAGTGATCTTCATTCCCCACTGTCTGCATCATTGATGGGTCCGAAGATTCGTTGTAAGATTTTTTTAAAAGAAAATTTGTATAAAGGCTGTATCTCACATAATTTAAAAACATTTTAAATTCAG